AAAAAAGAAAAAAAAAAGATGTTTTTTTTGCCGATTTGAACTTGGACGACGAGGATGTTGCCATTAAGTGTTTTTTTTGCCGTTTTGAACTTGGAGGACAAGGATGTTACCATTAAGTGTTTTTTTTGCCGTTTTGAACTTAAAGTGTGACCCGGGAGCAGTTATCCCTTTTTTGTTTTTCCGTCTTCAAATCGTTTGTCTTGAATGGTTTCGTGTGGTGCCAAGTTTTTTTCTTTTTTTTTGCATCTCTTCATTTTTTTATTTTTATTTTTTGTCGCTTCAATTCGTTTGTCACGAATGTTTTCATGTGGTGGTGTGGTGGGACGTCAAACATGGCTGTTGAAATCATTGATGAAAGCCGCTTAACGTAAGTTAGCGACGAAAAATACAAACAGAGAAAGGTAAACATGGATTGTGTGCATGCATAGGAGGCAATCATCTTTGAATCATTCCACCGAAGAGACGAGAGCAGCGGACACATGACATAAAAAAAGGGTGCGCTAAAAGCGCTATGAATTTCTCGCGCAGCGAACTGCCATGATAAAAACACAATACAGGAATGAATTCAATGAACTCGTCGTCGACTCCAACGGCCGACACACTAAACAGCTGCACTAAACGCAAAATACACGATTGAAATCAATCAAACCGCCGTTGTGCCACAGCCGCGCTCTAGACATCTACGCAACCGACGACGATTTTGGCGAGTCCCGCCTCCAGCCCCACTCTAAACAGGTGCGCACTTGACAACGGTCCAACCACAGTGAAGCCCATCACGACCTGCCACGTGTACATGCAGCCGCGTTCACAAAAGCATCCCCCCCCACCCCACCCCCCCACCCCGCCACCCCCTACGCGTCATCTTTTTCGTCATCGTTGTTGTCATCATCGGAGGGGCCCGAACCCGACCAATCTAGCTTCTTCGCATCCTCTGGCCCCGTTATGCTCGCGTCGTGCCTGAAACCCCAATTCCGCAGGGTGCCCATTAGGGATGTAGTCGGGGTACTCTCCAAACGTGGCGTTCGCCTTCCCGAGCCTCCCCGTGACGACTTTTGCGGCGCGTACGACGGATCGTCGATGATCGAAGGAGGGATGCATGACCGCGACAAGTGTGGGCTTCGCCACCAGGCTCACGAAGTAGAAACATTTGTAGTGGCTGTGCGGATCGTCTCCCGCCATGCGAATTATCCACATGCACGCCGCCAACAGCAGCCTAAAGCAGTCAGCCACCCGACAAACACGATCGTACCAGATGAAATCGCCGTCGATGAGCACACCCTGCACCGCCGTGCGGAATGCATGCGCGACGCAGACGACGGTGGACTCCTGGTGCGCCACCATGTCGTCGTCGTCTGGTCTGTCCTCGATGTTGGCGCTGGCGAACCACAGTGGCAAGTCCATGGACAGATCTATCATGTGCGCGCAAACCGCTTGACTGACGACGTTGCACCACTCCTCGCCGGACCACATAGCACGCGCAACGTCCGTCGCTACGGACTCGAGCGAGTACTGGAAAGCCACATTTTATCCCCTTGGGAGGTTCCCAGACTTGAATACCCAGCCGTGCAAGATACGCAGAGCAATGTTCTCCACTGTCGTCGCACGGGAGATCGCTTGCTGCTGATGTGATGGGTCGGCTATCCTGGCTACCCTCGTGCTGAATTTGGGCAGCACGACGCTCCGAGGGACGGCAGGTGGTGGAAGTCCGCTGGCGATGGCGACAAAGTACTCTCTCGTTTCATGGACGATGTTGTACAGTCTTCGCCCCTCCCCCGGCTCCCCGTCATCCAGAAAGCTTTGTCATCAACCCAAAGGACGGCACGATCGATGAGGTCTTTCGTCATCACTCCCCTACGTACCCGGCTTGAGCCGGGTTCGCCGCCCTCCCGATCATTTTTCTTCTCGCCGCACGCCTCCTCTCTCGCCATCACCACAACCGCTGCCTCCTCTCTTGCCGTCACAACAGGGGCCACAGTGATTGAAGCACCCGCACACGCACCACCTGTCGGCTCGCCCCCAACTTTGCGCGCGTCTGCCACGACTTTCCCCCCCCCGCCGCGTTGGACGGACCCTCCGTCATCACCCTGGTTGCGCCGACGTGGTTGAGACGGCATGGCGGGCAGTCTACCCGTGACTGGCCTTTCGTCTACCGCAGCGAGTGCCACCGCAGTCGGCGGTGGGGTTGTTGTTGTACGAGTGCGCAGGCGACATTTTTCCAAGGGCTCGCCATCATCGCCGCCAAGATCGACGACGACAGCCTTCTCTGTCCGCGTTTCGCGGGCACGCAGTTGTTGCGCCTCGGGTGAAGGGGTTAGCATCCTCTTTGAAACAATGTGATCAGAAGAGCGTTGCCGACCGCTCTCCCGTACTGCAGACACGGTCGCCTCTGCCCGCTCTTCCTCCGTCGTGAAGTCTTTGTCGTAGTCCGCTTCCGCTACTGCCGCCCAACCTTGCACTCCACGAGGAGGGACCCTTGCTGACGCATCATCCGAATGCACCCTCTTCGCCTTCGGGACATGTCGCCGACCTCTTCCCTGCCCTTGGCTGTCGTCAGGGACTTCGTCGCGCTTCTTCCCACGGGCGCTCCCTCGCGTAGACATGCTTCGTCGCGACCTCTGCAAACAAGCTTGGAGGTCCGTATGGATGAGCTGAAAGTGCTTCGTCGACCGCCGTTTGAAGTCCCGCCGATCTGGCGAGAAAAATGTCTCCCGTGCTTTTGTGGTGTGACGAGGACGAATACCCGTACGACACAGAAGATCTGTCCTCCGCGGGAAGAAGACGACGACGTACACATGGTGGACAGAAGGACGACGACACCGGCGAGAGTGCCCCGCGGTGAAAAGATTGGCGGCGAGAAGAATAAAAGAGTGACGGTGACAGTGCTCCACTGCGAGATGATTGACAATCGACGTCCACGAGCCGTGACGTGCGCGCTAGAAGGACGACGACTCCAGCGAAGATCGTCCACGTGACCAGATGGCGGGCGGTCCTCCACGACACTGAAGATGTTCGCGGGGAGCAGGCGACATTTATTCGCGGCGAGCAGGCGATATTCATCCGTGGCGAGCAGGCTTGTACCACTCCCGCGTCGTTGCAGTCGGTGTGCAGCAGGCGCGACGGGCTTCTGTACTTGTGACACCCTCGTGCGGACGACATTCATGCGGGTCGGGAAGCGCACGACTGAAGTACTCTCTCGCAGATATATCGCCCATGACGTCACTTCTCTGTGGCGGGAAATGACATCGTCGACGGTGGCACGTTGTCAGGCGGCCACAAGCAGTGCGCCGCCTGAAATCCACGGTTTAGGGACTTAGCCTCAAAGACAGGTCTGTGCAATGACGGTACTCTGGTTTGACCATGCAGCAAAAATTAGGGGCACCCCGAGTACCCCTAAGATTAGATATGACGACCGTTGAGACTAGCTCTCGAAATTGATAAGAAGGACTACCTTACCGCGGTGGCGTCTATCTCAATACCGCCGTCTTTAGCTTGTTTCCGGGACGGCCGCCTGCTGAACAGCAAGATGGAGATGGGCTTGGGCGTGGTTCTTTCTCTCTCTCTCTCTCTCTCTCTAAGCTCTCTCTCTCTCGAAACTCTCTCTCTCGCGAAACTCTATCTCTCTTGAAACTCTCTTTCTCTCTAAGTTCTCTCTATGAACGTCTACAAAAGTTAGAGACATATGATACATGGTTTACTAAAAAAAAAAAAAACGACATCGCTTGTTGAAAAATGATGGTGAACATGTAGCTACCTGAAGGAAATCCGCCTTGTCAACAAGGAAAAAGAAACAAAATCGGTCCATGAAAAAAATAAAAACGTCTACGTCAAACAAAGAATTTTCGTTATTTAACTGAACTCCATCGGAATTTATTTTTGACAAGATTGCTTTTATTTTCGTTATTATCGATAATGGAACTAAGAAATAAGGAAAATAATTAAAAATAATAAAACGAGGAGGAAACCCACGATTCTACTTAGTTATTCGCGAGGGGTTTTAATTCCGAATCATTTATTTACCCTGATTCTAACAACTCTCTCAATTTCCCGATAATCGAGATTACCGCTTGACTTGCTAATGGAAACTGTTTTGCCGGGACCCCATAGCGGACTGCGTTTTGCGGCAAAGTGCGCAAGTGATATTCCATAATAGGAAAGGTGCCCGTTCAGCATCCCGAAAAGGAAAGTGGCGAATGTTCGGAAGGCGTGGGTTGGACCCAAGGAATGACCGTGCCGCCTCATGTGGGTGATGCAGAGCGGCGTGTGCGAGAGGCAGTGTGACCTCCCGGTGCTCACTGCTGCAGGACTGGGGTAGGCCAAGGGGCCGGACACTTGCTGGTTCAAACGGTGGGTGTGACCTTGGAAAGTACCCCGCGCACTCCCTCCCTCACTCTCAACTTTCGGCACAAAATCGCGGCGAGATGTCCTCCGGAGCCACTTTTCCACGCCGCGGAAGATGTGAAAACGGATTTGCTTAAGCGCCACATTGTTCCAATCCGGGTGTTGTGAGTGAGTGCGGGATGGATGCCTGGCGCGGGATTACCACCGGTGCAATTTTGATTGGGCTTCATTGCTTGGGTGTTACCGCTGGGTCGATTCGGGCACGGTACTCTGGTTCGGGACAGGCTCGGTATTATTACAACTCATTGTTGCACGGTACGGCACTCAACACCGAGCGGTATCATAACAGTGCAGGCGGCGGTAAATTAGAGTGTTTCTTTGGAACTCGCATTGGTACGGACGCTATTGCAGATTGGCACAGCTATTGGATCGGCATTGACACGAACTGGTACGGTATTGGGCAGTTCGATATTGGTATGTCCTGGTATGAAACTCCGATCCACCTCAGGACGGCTGTGGTTCATTTGTTCGGGGGTACTGATTTTCTTTTTCCATGATAATTGGCTGGAGAGGATTATTTCTGTCACTGCAATTRTCCCGCCGACATGGTTTGACTGTGTGAAATAAGCGACGACGGCCGGYTGCATTGGCTTTTGGTACCTTTTACCGCGGGCCCTGAATTTATATCGGTGCTGCTGGGTTCGTGAACTGCTATTACCAGGCCAAAAGCCTGGTTTTTGGTGACACTGTCACTTGAAGAAAGGCCTATGCCAAACCTATAGCCCTGGTACCGCTGGTACCGAGGGGCTAGCTCCCGTTTYAGGGTGGGCGCYGAAAGAAGGGGAGAGATTYGAAGGTAACCATGCCGCAGCTCTCACATGGGGATATAGAGCGACAAACGGGACACCAAGGGGGGAGTGCGCCAGGTGTACCCAGCGAAGAATCGCGTCTGAAGGGGAAAGGGGTCAACGWGCCGCAGGGGACAGYGTGCTCGGCGTACACCTCAGCCAGCACAACGCGTTCAAGCAAGGGAGAACGACGCGCCAAGGGGGCGGCAGCGAGAGAGATTGAGACAGATGAGACGGGGGCAATCTCGGATGGCATGCCAGGAGTGGCCAGCGTCAAGCAGTTGCGGAGTGAGGGAYGAGCTCGGGGCGGAGACGCGTCGGTGCTCAGGCGGTTACTTGCGTGTGTGAGAGAGAAGGAGACTGCACAGCGGGAGCGAGAGACTGTGTGTGTCCGAGAGAGAGAGAGAGAGAGGGCGAGAGTGACGAAGTGGATGAAAGAAGRCCATARTACTATMATTTATTACTATGCGRCTGGTCATAAGCGCAGCCACACACATTTATGATAGAGTCTATGTGAGCATGCCCTCGGCARGAGAAACGAGGACTGAGAGGGTGCAAGCAGATGGGGAATGCCAATGAGAGGGAGATGATTCGTGACCCTTTTCCATGGGYTTCCAGCCGCGCTCAGTAGGCGGCTCCTGGAGCAGTAAGTGATGACGCACAGTTCTGGGAGTGAATGAGAATTAGAGACCGAGGATTAGTAAGAGGAAGGGAAAGATCAAGGHTATGGCTAGTTGCCTGRCCCGTTTCGAACGTRCCCGTTCACCTRAGCAAGYTGATTGCGGTCGGCGTGGGCATGGATGTAGAGGACTTGTGCTTGAGTATGGACTAAAGTGCTGSTTRTGGATCGACTCAAACCCTTCATYAAATCGTTTCRCAGCCYWGTTGTTTATAGCAGGCGGAATATCAYGGACTGMTGCTTTTTCTGTGTTTGGATCGAGAGCTGCCCGAATACAKCTTTGATGACCCTGTGCTCTATTCGGATCCGTGGGAGACAGCAGCAGCACTGCGAAACAATTATTGGTTCTYTTGAAAGGTAGCTCCAAACGAAGATYCGTTTTCKCACACATAAGGGSGACTTCGAATGGCAAGGTTTGACCGTTGGGATTAACGTTTAGACCAGATTACAACATCATGCTTGGCCGTGAACAAACCGAAGATTTATTCCACTTTTGTCCTCGGGTGAGTACTCGTGGAGGGGCTGCAGGACACAGAGGGCAGAGAAAACCATAGTGTATCTTTCCATGTCTTTGTCAAAATTTCATTCTCACTTCCCTCATTTGGTTGGTGATTGAGAACTTCAAGGAAGTATAGAGAGATAGATAGATAGAGAGAGAGAGAGAGAGAGAGAGAGAGGGCCAGCGCAGCAGAGAGAGAGAGAGGGAGACTGACAGCCCAGCGCAGAGAGAGAGAGAGGGGGACTGACAGTGTAGCAGAGAGAGAGAGAGAGAGTGACTGACAGCGTAGCAGAGAGAGGGAGAGAGAGAGAGAGTGAGGGCCAGCACAGCAGAGAGAGGGAGAGAGAGAGAGAGAGAGAGAGAGTGAGGGTCAGCGCAG